CGGGATAACAACGGTCCGTTTGTTTCTGTCTGAAGAACAGGATAAGACAGAATTTTACTCATAACTGCATCGTCACGTTGTATTTTTCGCTGATGTAACCGAAGTCGTCGTCGAGCGTGACTGAAGCGAGGCGAAAGAAAGGCACAGCGCGGAATAATAAATGTCCCGCATAACTACTTATTACTTGAACGACCGAACGCCTCCTGCATCGCACATACACACACATACACACACGGCACGCATAGCGCGCGGTAGCGCGCTTTCGGTCACGGAACGCGCGATGATTTACCGGCGTCACGTGCGTTCGCGCGACTCCTCACGAATACGTCTCGCCTACGCATCTCTGATCGTTTATCAATCTTCACCTCATTAAATTCACACAGGGCGTTCGCCCCTCCCTTCCTGCTTGCCCGATATAATTTAATTTCACAGTCTCTTTTTACCAACGCTCGCACGTTCGTTTATCTCGACGCTCGAGCTTAGTCGACGAAGATGTGCACGTCGTTGCGAATCTTCGCTCGATCCGGCAGTCCCGATGATACCAAGGTAATTTGCATGTACAAGCGTAATTTTACCCGTGAAATTGATTAATTGATATCAGGGTTTTGTTTGTTGCTGCCACTGAGAGACATGGAGCCTACCTTCTCTTTTGTTCTTTCTTTCTCTTAATTTTTATCTCTGCGGAATGATATCTGCTTTTCTGTTGTCTTTGGAATTTCTTTTTGTGCATTTTAAAACAGTGATACTACCCTTGATAAAAGAAAGTATCCTTGATAAAAGGGACGCTTTTATTTCTGTACATTTTTTACTTTATCTAAAGATATTATTTGTTTAAAGATAGAAGCTGAAAGTTTCAGAAGCCAGGTAGTGAGAAAAGCACTCGATGACGCACATAGACGTTGTGTGATAGAACAAACTTAGAGATAAGGCGAAAGGGTAAACGTAGACCGAAATCTGAGGTTCATTAGCTAGACGAGATATCGGAAGGACCTGCCGTACAATCGTATCGTCGGGCGCAGAGAGAGAGAGGGAGAAGGGAGAGAGAGAGAGAGAGAGAGAGAGAGAGAGAGAAAGGGAGAGAGAGAGAGAGAGAGAGAAAGTCGCAGTCGAAAGTACGAGCTTCCGGCTCCGTTCTTCAGCGACGTTGCAGCCCGCTGCGGAGTCGCTGCGATTGCTCGTTTCTCGCATAAAGCGGGGCCGAAGGTGTACACGGGCGCGGTATCGGTTCCGAGAAAGGCTTATCAGGCCGCGGATATGTTAATGGCGGCCGTGTTGCCTCCCCCAGCCTCCCCGCCACCTCTTTTCGAGATATATTGCACCCCGAGCGCGCGAGCGAGCGCGCGTCCGAGGTGGTTGGTGGCTTGCTAGGTGGTTGTCGTTGCGACAGCCCTCTCGATTCGCGCCGTGTGCGCGTGCATATGCATGCGCCGCTCGCAATCAAGAATACCCCCGACGGGAAAGTCCCGGCGGGGCGCGTTCGGTGAGAAGAGAAAAAGGGGGAAAGTCTGAGGTCACACAATTGCGATAATCGCGCGGCCAACTTTTCTAATTGGCCGCTTTGAAACGATATATCGGAATCCACTTCGCGCTACTCTCATCGGGTTTCATCTCTCTCTCTCTCTCTCTCTCTCTCTCTCTCTCTCTCTCTCTCTCTCTCTCTCTCTCTCTCTCTCTCTCTCTCTGTCTCTCTCTCTGTCTCTCTCTCTTTCTTCTCCTCCTTTTTCTGGCACCACCCTCGTTTCTGGGAAATTCGAGGATTTCCATTTCGAATTATTAGTTGTGTGAATTAATTCGGTCCATTTGGCGGTCAATTGCTGTAGTATGTAATTTTCTAACCTGTAATGTCTGCTAAAGGCTTTATTTTTTAGTTTTGATATCTGGCAATAATATCCAGTTGATAAACGTTTGTATTTGTAACAATAACATCGTATTTATCTGATTCGAAAATGTCGAAATTCGAGCCAAAATAGTATCATTTCCGGGAGGTTCTCATTTTCTGTTTGCATTTGAAGAAAACAGCCGCTGAAGCTCATCGAATGCTCGTAGAAGCTTATGGTGAAAGTGCCCCCACCGATAAATCATGCAGAGAATGGTTTCGACGTTTCAAAAGTGACGATTTCAGTGTCGATGACAAACCTCGTCCAGGTCAGCCGAAGAAGTTCGAGGACGAGGAGTCGCGGGCGCTAATCGATGAAGATCCGTGTCAATCGCAACATGAGCTCGCGCAATTGTTGAATGTTGATCGTTCGATCAACAATTTCTGTGCGTTTGACAGCCATGGGAAAGATTTTGACAAAGAAGGAAGATGGGTGTCATACGAACTGAAAGAAAGAGACATCGAGAGGCGGAAAGCCATGTCTGAAATCTTGCTTGCCAGGCAAAAAAGAAAAGATTTTTTGCATCGTGTTGTGACGAATAAGCGGCCGGAATATGCAAAGAGACAAAGTGATCTTCGACAAAGTGATCTTCCAGCACGATAACGCTCGGCCACATGTTGGAAAGATTGTGAAGGCCACCTTGGAAGTACTTGGCTGGGACTTGGTTTTACCTCAGCCGCCGTATTCACCAGATATTGCTCCATCCGATTGTCACTTGTTCAGATCGATGGCACACGAGCTTTCGGACCAGCACTTCAACAATTATGAAGAAATAGAGAAATGGCTCAGTGAACGGATCGCTTCGAAGGACGAGTCGTTTTCCCGTCACAGAATGCAACAACTGCCAGATGGGAGAAAATAACAGCAAGCGATGACAAATACTTTGATTAGCGTACTTTTGCATGTTTCTTCATACTAAAGTCTTTTTTTTGGAAGAAAAAAACGGACCGAATTAATTCACACACCTAATATTACTTGCCCAGGGGAGATTTCGAGAATTTCTGAAGCGGGGGATTTTCGCAGGTTTCGAGCTTGCGATCTCCGAAACGTGGCGCGCTCGAAAGCACGAGTGCCTTTCGAGAGCTTGCTCGTCACTCCGCGTCGTGCGCGAGTTCCTCGGTTCCTGAGGTCAGGGCTGTTTGGAGCGTCGGGTCGCCGATATCCTTGAATTTTCGAGCGCTCCGCTGGTCGGATTATCAGATTGCTTCGATCCTCCGAGATCTCCGGGCCGATCGCGAGCCGGTGAGCACGGAGAAAGATCATCTCGAGATCTCCCGCTCAATAATAGAAGCCCGGCGAAGGAGACTAAGCGTGAGATAAAGAGATCTATCTGCAGCCTCCCTCCCTCCCTCTCTCTTCATTCACGAAATGAAAGAGATCTATCTACGGCCTCTCTCTCTCTCTCTCTCTCTCTCTCTCTCTCTCTCTCTCTCTCTCTCTCACACACACTCTGCCTCTATCAGCTATTCTCCAATCGTACGTCTGGGATCACGAAGAAGGAGCGAGCGGACGAGGGTCGCGGATGAACTCGCAAACGTCTCGCTGCATACGAACGTATGCATGGCTGCGCAATTAAGGCCGATCGGCAGTCCAAGAGGAACGGAAATAGACTGGGTTGGCGGCAAGCAGGCAGGCAGGCAGGCAGGCAGGCAGGCAGGCAGGCAGGCAGGGCAGGCAGGGCAGGAAGGGAGAAGGGAGAGAAAGAGAAGACTGCCAAGCCTTGCTGCCTGCCATGCTGGCCGCCGATCCATCGATGACCGCTTATTTACAGAGAAGCAGAGGGAACACGACCCGAGTGTAGATGCGAGCTCGGGATAGCCCACGAGCGCGCTGCAACCCTTTGCCCAATCTCCTCAGGCATCTCTCTTCGTCCTCCCTCGCGCTCCCCCCCTCCCCCTCTGTCACTCTCTTTCCTCCTCCTGTTCCTCCTCCCCCTCCTCCTCCTCCTTCTTCACATCGTCGTCCTCCCGCTCCCGCTGCTCTTACTCCTCGCCCGAGGAGGCAATTAAAGCATCCGGGTAATTCTCGAGTCTCGATCTCTCGACGACGAGCCACCTGGATCGAGTCGAGTCTCCTAGAGGTCCTTGAGAGGATCGCCGGGTGGAAAGGATCCGCGGAGGAAGTTCGATAATGCCGGGGCGCGGAGAAGGAGAGGGGAGGCAAAGAGAAACATATATGCGCGATCTTATCGTAGATCCTCTCCTGCGAGCGGGAATATTGTATCACCGTATCTCGCTTTTCCTTTCGTTTTTCCTCGACTCTTCCTTTTAATTAGCTCGCGCGCGCGACGCGCGGCGCGCGGTGATTAATGGATGAAATTGTGAGGATTTCGATTAAAATAATATACTCTCGCCGGCGTTCCCGCCGCCGAGAGATTCCCGATAAACGGCCGCGAATAGAACGCGTCTCGATAATTCTAGAGGTATTTTTAATCTGCCGGCAGATACGTCAGCCGCGATAAAGCCATTTTTCTTCCTACGGAACGACTAAATCGAGAAATGATAGCTTCCACTCCCGCCGCATATCGAAACGCTCGCCGCATTCTCAGAATGTTTCCGCTGCTTTTCCTATTATCTTCACGGTTAAGAGACTTCGCCGCGAGACGAAGAGTCGTCCCGAGACCGCGTCCGTTCGAAAAGAGAAAAGAAGCTTAATTTTGAGAACTCGTCGCGAAATTCGGCGTGTTCCCTCAAGATCGGCCCTTTTACTCTTCTTCTTGCCCGATAGTTCAATTTCTCATTAATCCGAATTCAACTCCCTCGAGTTTTCGCGAACTCTCCCCTTCGCCCGTCCGCGACAGCCGTGACTTCGTCGATAACATGGTCGCTCAGTGTGCCAGGATCAAATCCTAAGATAAACGGTCCACCATCCTACGCACCCTGTTCGACAGGATCGGCCCAACGCTGGACTATTTGACAGGCTGCACAAGCAGCAGACCGAGCGCTCGAGCCCGGTGGGGGGATGAGAGGCGTGCGAAGGGTGCAATTGGTGGTTGTGTTAGACGGGGGGATAGACCGAACGGGAGAGGGAAGGGAATGCGTTAGGTACCCAAGAGTCGGTACACCGAAAGTCCATTAGAAATCCAGACGGCTGGAAAGTGGCGTCGCGCGCGTCCGTGTCACCTTTTTCTCGAGCTTTCTTTTCGAGGACGATCCCTTCCTTGATCGTCAGCTTCTGGTTTGGTTCAACTCGACACCATTGTGTTTGCGTTAAATATAAAATATATTTGATATCCGATCGTTGTTGGCGCGTCTTAATACGATGCACTGTTGAATTAATTAACGTGATTAATAATGTCTGGATGCCGACTTCGATGCATGTGGAAATTGAACGGAGGATTCGGAAGTTGCTTTGGATATAACTATGTCATCATCGATCGAGGCCATTACAAATCATCTATTGTTTCGTGCTGCGCTTCTTTATCAGCGTCTCGGAGTCTTCAAAGTTCCCAAAGCTCAGCTTCGTCGAAAACTCGGACTCGCAGATACCTCACAAACAAGTTTGCTCTCCCTTTTTCTCTTTCATTTGCAACAAATTGAATTATTATAATGTCGATTCTTAATTCAGTCGATCGCTCGAGTATCGAGTATATCGGGATGACATCGGTTGTGCGATTTCGGAGGTGTCAAAGTAATGCTGAAAAGAACTTGACATGGAAATCTGCAAAGTGCCTTCCTGCGATATGCGTGAATATTTTTTATTTTTGCATTTGTCGCGATTTGAGTTTAGTCGGTCTCGACTGATGCGCGATCGTGCCTTCCTGTTGATTTCAGGGGAGGATGAGGAGTGGAGTGACTCGGAGAAGACCCCGTCGGTGAGCAGCGGCGTGGATGGCGGCGGATCAGCGGTGTCAAGTCCTGTCGCACCCGCGGTCGAGGAAGACTCGAGCTTACCGCCCCCGCCGAGACTCAATCCTCTGTCGGCCTCGGCCAATTCCACCAATGAAGACCTCAGACTACGTCTTAGTGTACTTCCAGAAGACGCTAGGAAACGCCTCGCCAGCCTCACCGAGGACATCGAGGTGCGTGATGCTTCCTCGTGGTGTTAAGTTTACTTCAATTAACTCGCTAATCTCCCAACGAATGATCTTTGAACACGTCTTGGAATCTTTAGCAACGTCGGCGAGTTATATTTGTCCTTGGCGACAACAGTTCGAGTGATATCTTGAAGTAATTACCGCTCACATACCTCAACAATTTAAATAATTTGCTGACATCTTGTTATATTTATCTCCTTGAGAAATATTAATATCTTTGTCTGTTTGTCTTCCCGAGAGAGGGAAGAGAGGGAACTCAGAGGGAATTAACTTTTCTGGTAAATTTTTTCCTCAATAATTTGCGCGCAGATTATTTAACATTATTACGTCACTATTACATCATTTTGGAGCTTTTGATTTCCAGAAATATAAAATCGACCCCGTGTAAATTTAACAAATTTCTCGACTCAATTATAACATCTGATACCTAATATGAAGTATAAAATATTTAATACGAAACATTTAATTTAATTGCGCAGGTCGCCAGGAGCATAAAAAGCCATGCACCGTCCAGGAGAGTGCGTACGCGAGAGTCGAGTCCCAAGGACGTCGAAGAGGAGCAGGTGGCGGTCAAGGAAGAGGAGTGTCAACTGAGGTCGTCGTCTTTTTCGTTGTCTTCCACCAGGAAACGAGACGCCGTCTGCCGTCGGGACTCGGAGGACTCTGCGAAACGGTCCGACGAGTCAGCCACCGAAGCCAAGAGGATAAAGCCTGAAGATGAGGCAGCACCAAGACTGAGACTCAATGCTAGTCTGGCGACGGATCCCGCCCTGAGACCCGCCGCCGTCGCCGCTCTTACTGTGAAGCCCGAGAACTCTTCACCGCCGAACCCGACTCCGCCGTTGCCGGCCGGTCTCCAAAACGGTAAGATTTGATCCAGTCCAACTCCGTCCAATTGCGCCATTGGCGCAAATCCTCACGCATATGCTTGGATCCCTTTATCACCTCTGCATATCATCTTTTAATATTTGAACATCCGTTTAAATTGTTTAACGTTTATGCATTTGTAAGTCGTTGAAGAGTTCAGAGGAAGTTGTGTCTTAATAACCATCGTGGGTCCCTCATCCACCATTTCTTTTCATGTCATTGGGATTCCTTTTTGGAGAGAATTTTATTTCGACCTTTTTGGGCCAGGAGAAATACGGTCTGACCTACTTTTTTTTTGTTTTATCATCGTCGATTTATCTTAATCGACTTTCTGACTGGACCATTCGTAATCTTATCAGCGATCGCATCCGGACGTCTGTTTGTCCTGCCGACCGACGGCAAGGAAACGATCACGGTGGAACCAGCAAGGCCGACTGCGTTGGTTTGTCCACCGTGCGGCATACGCTTCAGTTCGGCGAGCACTCTGGAAGCGCATCGCACCTACTATTGCGCCCACCGACCGCGTTTGGAGGAGGATGCGGCGAACGATGAGGACGACGACAAATCCGGCAAGTACGAGGTGCGGAAGGCGTACGCGTGTCCTCATTGTTCGTACAGCGCGGATAAGAAAGTGTCGTTGAACCGACACATGCGGATGCATGCGGCATCGCCGGCTCCACCGACGATACCGCCGGCGAATCCAACCCCGACCAGCAACCCGGCCATCGGTCAAACCACCGCCTCCAACGGTTCTCTCAGCGAGGAGGCTGAGAGATATTGTAGGAATTGTGACATCAGATTCAGCTCCTTGAAGACGTACAGGTGAATAAATGAGTGCTTAGATCACTCGGAACTGTAGTGTTCAGATTTGTGCATGGAATCGAGTCATGTGTCAGATGTAGACGTGATTAATTCATCACACACATACACACACACACACACACACACACACACACACACATCAGTTCTACATAAAAAAAATGTTATATAAAAATATAATTTTTCTATAGAACTCATATACAGGGTGTCCCATTTTAAGTGTCCACCCCAAATATCTCTCTTATTTTTGATTTTAGAGAAAAATGGTTCAGATATGTTTTGTATGGTTTCGAGGGGGCTATAAGATGGTACCATTGATTTGACCTTGAAGAGTCATTTGAAGGTCACGTGAAGGTTACCTCAATTTTTTTAGATGGAACCCCCTATTTTTCATTACATATTCTTATAGCTGACCTCGAGAGCTTTCCAAAACTCTATAATCAAATGTTTCTTGGTGAAGTACTTTTCGAGTTATAAAGCTCCAAATTTACAAAATTTTGATAAAAATACAAAATATTTCGTAAAACATTCACTTTCCGATAGTCTTATCTTACATGATCCAACCAGACAAGGCAAGATCCGAGCATGATCCAGCCAGTCAAGAGAAGATGCGAGCCTTGACTGGTTGGATCATGCTCGGATCTTGCCTTGACTGGTTGGATCATGTAAGATAAGACTATCGGAAAGTGAATGTTTTACGAAATATTTTGTATTTTTATCAAAATTTTGTAAATTTGGAGCTTTATAACTCGAAAAGTACTTCACCAAGAAACATTTGATTATAGTGTTTTGGTAAGCTCTCGAGGTCAGCTACAAGAATATGTAATAAAAAATAGGGGGTTCCATCTAAAAAAATTGAGGTAACCTTCACGTGACCTTCAAATGACTCTTCAAAGTCAAATCAATGGTACCATCTTATGGTCCCCTCGAAACCATACAAAACGTGTCTGAACCATTTTTCTCTAAAATAAAAAGTAAGAGATATTTGTGGTGGACATTTAAAATGGGACACCCTGTATAACTATATTCTGTATAAAAATAATTCATTCATTTCAATGGCACTACAGCCCCAATCGAACCTGGGCTTCCCTCAACAAAAATAATTAGAATCATAATTTTAGTTAAAAAATTACGGTAGTTAAAATTAATTTTGTAAAATATTCAGCAGTGTGTGGTAAGATAAAAGTCGTTTTGTTTTTCCTTTATTATTTATTAAGAAGGAAAATTATGTTGTATCTTAATTTAGAAAAAAAAAATGTAATTACAACTTTCAAATTTCACCATTAGAAATGCTCGAATGTTTGCAGGACGAATTTTCTAACGCGACCTGCCATTTCATTGTAGGGCACATAAAACGCACTATTGCAGTACCAGGCACGTGGTGAAGGACACGGTACCAACGCCAGCGACGCCGCAATCCTCGGTCAAGGCGTCTCCGCCAACGAGTTCGAGTCCCGGCGATTCACCACCCCCGCAACCTTGCCTGGCACTGCCAACCAATCCTCCTATCGTCTTGCCGTACACGGTGTTTCGCGGGGCGAGCGTTCTCGCTGCACCATCTCTTCCGCTTTCCGATACAGTATACTACCTTCTGCCAGACGGTTCGTACCAACTCAGTACATTATATATATGTTACTGTTTAAGAAAAATTTATAGTTATAATTTATAGTTTGTAAGCTCTGTGTTCTTAAAAATGGTAAGCTTTCATTCTTGAAAATTGCAAGAAGTATAGTAGCACGCGAGAAGTGGCTCCAGATATTTTGATTTTTGAAACAGTGTCCAATGTGAATGGAGATAATTTATTATCAACGGTCTGTGAACTTTCCGTCCAGACCGTTCGATCTTTTAGTTAGTAAATTGAAATATAATTAGGAAATATTTTGATGATTATTATGAAGCGCGCGTGTGTTAAGTGACAAGTACGATTTAATTTATAAAACGAAATGGAAACTAATGAAAAATATCTCAATAATCCTCGAAAAATAAGAATATGTTTAGTGATTTTCGACGCGTCATCATGTCTCCAGGTACCCTCCAACCGGTAACAAGGGGTCTTCCATCCGCTACGCAAAACGCAACGATGGAACCACCGGCTGTCTTAAAAGCGGCAAACAAGCCCTCAACGCCAGCATCGGTAGTTATGGCGTCCACGTCGCCGTCCGCTTCAGCACCCCTTGATCTCAGCGTGCGTAGATCGCCGGGTCATCAGGACGAGAAGGAGAACAGGATGTCACCGGCGCCATCGTCTCTGCCGCCACCACCGGGCAGCCCCAGATCCAGGAGCAGCGGTAGTCCCAGAACAAGTTCTATAAGTTCAACGCAGACTGCTGCCGGTGTTGTTGCATCATCACCAGCTACTGAAATCCCTTTAAGATTAACTGATTTGCCGCCACCTCCTGTTCCGGGGGTACTAGTGAAGCAAGGTGTTTCTAGGTGAGTCTCAGAACGCGGTTCTAAATGTAAAACGCGTAGAAACTCGAGTCGTTGAGATCTTGAATACACGATATTTTACTTTTTCTTTAAATTCTCCACATCTTCACAGATTGTTCCAATTGTGTAATGTTTAAACCTCAAACAAAATTTGTATCGAATTTGCATTTTCTTTCAAACTTTTGATTCTTTTGATGGATTCAGGATTCATACATTTAAGAATTTAAGACTATCGAAGGAACTTAGGCTATGTATATAATTTGAATTTGAGAGAAGCAAATTTCTAATATATGTCTTGAGTATTTTTCTAAACTGTTTTTCTAGCATTTCTCACTTAAATCGCGGAATTTTCTTCGTCTGTGTTTCTCTGTCTTCGGTTAGTTTGAAAAAAAAATTTAGTCACGAGTAATTGATTTTCCACGTACAGGTGCAAGGAATGCAACATCGTGTTTTGCCGGCACGAGAACTTTGTTGCTCATAAGAAGCACTACTGCCAGGCGAGAGAAACTACAGTGAGTAACAGTCCGCCGCCTCCGGGTACACCCTCGCCGCCATTAGTCCAACTGATTTGCGCCGCGTGCGGCATCAAGTTCGCCTCCATGGATAACTTGGTCGCCCATCAGGCGTTCTACTGCCCCAAGAGGCCCGAGTCTCAGGAACATCACACGCGCTGTTCCAAGTGCAAAGTAAGAACCACATAACAACATATTAACTTTAAAAGATGTTTGACGAAACGCAGGCGTCTACGAGACGTCTTCAAGATTCAGGGCTTTTTTACGAGCCTCTCAGGAATCTGTTACATCCATTATATCTCATTTAGTCGATAGTCGAAAAATCGTACAGTCGAACCGTCTGAAAGGATTTAGGTGCTTTTTAGATAAAGATGCACGATATCTTCGAGATAACTGTCTTTCCTTTATCCTCCTGAGCTTGTTCTTCTTTTTAAGTGATGAACAGGACGAAAGAAAACCCTTGACCAACTCCTTAACAATAAAGAGTTGGACTAACGTACGGTTTATTGCCAGGCGATAATAGAACCCGGAGGTAGCAGCCATACCTGTAGCAGCGGCACTACAGGAGGATGGCGATGTCCAGTTTGTGGCGCCGTTAGTCCTACGGCTGGCGCCGCGCAACGTCACATGGATGCCCATCAGGGCATTAAGGCCTTTCGGTGCACTATTTGTCGTTATAAAGGCAACACTTTACGTGGCATGAGAACCCACATCAGGATGCACTTCGCGAAGCGTGGCACTGATCTACAGGTAAGATGTTTGATCCACAAGTCGTCTCCGTGGTACTTTGCTCATTATGTCCGTCGTCTTATTGTGATCGACGAGTAGAAAGACGGATAGAGATTCCGGTGCGAGTACTTGAAAACTGGCGAACTCGAAAAAAGATTTAAAGTCGTCTCAGTCAGTTTCACTAACAACTGTGGGTTTGTCCATCCTTTGCATGTGTGTGTCTGTAAAACCGAATGTTCAAAGTTCTTGAATCTTCAGATTATATTTTTCCAAGTTTTCTTTCAAAATTTGATTTTTGCAACACGGAATCTCCAAGCGAATTCAACTCACCCTCGACGAGGTCTGCTATCAATGGTAACGACGAGCGTGTCTGTTAGGGCTGTCTAACAAGAAGACATCCAAGTTACAATTTTCCGTTTCAGGAGGAGAATTACATAACATGCGTATTAGACGATGAAGCGACGTTACCCACGCCCGAACCCGCAGCCGCCACGACGCCGGAGGAGATCCCCGCAGAGGTGCAAGTGAACGGCAAGACCACGGACATAAGGAAGAGCCCACAGCCGCCACCGTCGTTGCCGCCACCCGCGGCGGTCACCAGTAAGGTGAAGCAAGAACGCGAGGACACGCCACCGCCGCCGCCACCTCCACCCCCGGAGGAGAGTCTGGACCCTACGAAGAGCGGGCCTCGATATTGTCGATCCTGTGACATCAGCTTCAACTATCTGAGCACGTTCATTGCCCACAAGAAATTCTACTGCTCGAGTCACGCCGGCGAGGCCAGCAATAACAACAACAACAATAATAATAACAACAACGCCAGCGGACACACTACGTCGCCGCCAACCGGCAGGACTGAGGCGTCGGTGCTCTAAGGATGAGAAGTTAGCCGCAAACTCGAGGCAAACGGGACGCCTCAGTCACAGTTTCTCTTCCTCTTCCTGGGGTTCCTCTTCGCGTTGGGTACATTGAAAGTGTACATTAAAAAATTCACGGTCGAGTGCAAAATTAGAAGCACCTCGACTGCTTGAGACTGTCGGGAACTGTCTGTTTGGGAACTCTACTTGCCGAGAAGATTGTCGATTCACGATGCTAAGTGAATATAGTTTAGAGGTAGAGAGAAAAGACTGTTCGTAAGAACGACGGTCTTGTGATGATGTTACCGGAGTACGAGGATGTTCCTCGGAGACAGGGGCATTTTGAAGATTCAAGTTAAAAGGAAAAAGATACTTGGGGAACGAGAAGTTTCTGAAAACATGACGAGAACGTTCCCACAGAATTGCGAGATTTCCGAGGCAATTTGCGAGGAAGACGAAAGCTCGCCGGGAAGAAGAACAAAGCGTATCAAGCGCGCAACGACTAGAAGCAGGACTGTTAATTGTTGCCAGTTTATACATAATATAATGAACGATTATCGGATTTCTCAGTTGACTCTTATTACGTTGTGTGATTTTTGTTGATCCAGGGAATCGTTCGTACTTATAAGCTGATAGTATCTACGTGTACATATATATATGCGCGCGCACGTGTGTTTGTGTGTATGCGAGGGAAAATTTAACACAAATTAAAAGGCGCAAACAGAATCATAACCAGAATCTGGTTTGTGTCATGCAAAAATTATAATTATCTAAATTAATACATATAATGTGACAATATATAAGATAAAGGTTTGCGTAAAGCATGAAATGAACAGAGAAAAAAACGATTTTTAAGAGAAAATCTCTTGTATTCTTTGTTTTCGGAGCTAATTTCGGAGTGACGTTTTCTTGCGTATGCGTTTTTCAAATGTTGATTAACATTAAAATGTAATTTCAAAAGACAGCACGGAAATCCTTAATATTCCTATAATTTTTCTGAGTGTTAATTTAATTTCCTCTCGTCATTGTTTGACCAAATAATGCAAAATTTTTCTGTGAAGAAAGCGAAGATGCATGATTAATAACTTAACCTGCCAATCCAATGAAATCCTGTAATATGTAATTTTCTTTTTAATTATATAAAACGTTTTGGTAAATTTGGCATTAAAATGATCGAAAATATCTGATTATGGCTCTGGGTGCGCACAATCAATTCGACGATCGTCACGTCGATTTGGCGTTCTCAGAAGAACACTCAGAGATGATGAGACGCCGCATACGTTTGTACATAGAAAGCAAATCAACGGAATGAATACCGCGAATGGGAATGGCGAAACGAGGATGGGTGAGAAAAAGATAACGCGTCTGAGCTCGATGAACTGATCGATCGATCCAGACGAAGGTGTGCAATCTCATGACTCTTCAGTAATCTCGTAGCATAGTTAATAATCGACATTACCTAAGGACGAGTATGATGAGTGTAAAATGTTGTACAGTAGGTGAGTAGAGTATTACGGAGCAGTAGTAAAAGCGATTCTGATGAATGATACCAACAATCTCAGCTTGTGAATCTAAGTTACGTTGCAATGTATGACATTTAATATATAAATATTATAAATAAATAAACGGTTATATGCCTGCGGAATCGCGTCCGCACTCACGGATAATAGTATGAGTGCGTCGATAAATATCCGTCGCGCGAAGGACCTTGGTGCTACGCGTTCAACCGGCTGCGTAGCGAAAAAAGTGCGCAACCTTTTACATAGTATAATTGTAATTACGATGAGTACGGAGTTGAGGTTTTCTCCGCGAGAGAACAATTGCACATTCGTTGCCACTTATTTATTATTTATTTAAATCTCTCTCTCTTTCTCTCCCTCCCTCCCTTCCTCCCTCCCTCCCTCCCCTCCCTCTCTCTCTCTCTCTCTCTCTCTCTCTCTCTCTCTCTCTCTTGGAAATTTGAATAGGTCGAATATTCTCGTGGTGAATCAAGTCTCGTGAATGATAAAAGAAGCTACGAATCAGATATTATGCCAACTCTTGAAGTTCAGTCGAGAAAACAATTTTATTGTTGGTGTCTATTAGAAAATCATTTTGCAATTAAGATTTTAAGATATCCTTGTCTGAATATTTTGTCAGAATTGTTTTTTTGACTGAATTTTAACTTTTACAATTGGTATCCTCGTCTAAATAAACACCTTATGTTTATTGAGGAGAATACACTTCCTAATACATCAAATACAACCTAAGGTCTTGTGAAATAACTTGTATATATGTTGCGATATCGAAGGACGCAATCCTGCGATAGAAAGGAGGAGCGATCCTGAGAGGCCCTCTCCGCACTCATCGACACCCCGTCACTCGGATTTTTAGCGACGCATTCTGACCCGTGCAACCCAATCAAAAAGCATCGCGCGTGTTCGCGAAGCGAAACGTGAGCGCGTCGTTGCAGGGCGCGTAAGTGTAAAGAAAAAAAAAAAATATTAGAATTAAGGCCAGTGTTACGTGTATACGCAGTGTACTACTCATATCATACGAGCTCGTTAATGAAAAAAAAAAAAGAAAAGAAACGCCGACCTATCTGCGTGGCGAATTTCACGACTCAGAGAGATCGCAAGCGACACGAGTTTTGCAATGATGAAGTATATAATCTCGGCACACAATCTCGTCGCATCATCCGGTGAATTTGTTTACCTCTCGATCTTGAGACAACCAAGAAGAAGAAGAAAAAGAAATAACAATTTACCGAAATAATCTCTTTTTGTAAGTATCCGCGCGCCATCACCATGATTGTCGGATTTATATTATAATATTCCCTCCACCACTCGTTCCGGTATATCGCGGATATTACCAGGTCGAGGCGCGAGATTGGCGAAAGAGAAGAGACGGAGGAAAAGATAGTGAGGGAGCTTGAGACGGAGAGAGGGAGAGAAATTTGTAAATTCACATCTGGTACTTCCAACAACTTGTTATACGCTATAAATCTGGTGTATCATTATATGCCATATCTTCGACAAGACAATTCTTTCTTCAATATGATACACACACATCCCAATGGCATCCTTTTTTTGGAGATCGATCATTTGATTTTCTCCCAAAAGCGAACGAACCTCTACTGCGAATTGACCAGAATTGCCGTCGGACTGTCATTTTTTGTTCATTTTTTAATCTTTTTTCGTCGTGATGAAATGATGAGTTTCTCACTGGATTAGAAAGATCCGGTAGACCGACGAGATATTCGAATTACCGCGAATGAGGAAGAATTTTCATACAAGTTCGCCGACGATTGCGTGATCGATCTCCTAGTCTCTTAGGCTTACGTCTCTTTTGCCGTTTTTATTTTGATAGAAGGATTTTACACGCGAGATATATCTATAGAGAAAAGTCTGTAATAAATATATAAACGTACAAATAAAATCTTATGACATTTACAACTCATTCTTTCTTGCTGAGGAGAAGGCGAGGATCAAGACTGAGATGTATACTGAATGGGAATGTTTATTATAAAATATTCAATGAAACTTTGCGGGATGATAAATTTCGAAACTGACTTACAAAAATGATCCACGTAAAATCCTTATAATGAGATAATCAACTTTGAAATCGGCATAATACTTTTTGCAGTATAAGAAAAACCAATACATTGAAATCGATGCATATACGTTCATACATGGACAAAATATCGTTTATATGTACATTTACGAAACTGGATTACTTTACTATTTACATTTTCACATCAATCATTTTGATATAATGATCACTTGAATTGATGAATGATGTGTCTTCCGATTCTATTTACTAGTTTTAGATTAAAATATTAGATTAATTTACCCCACTACTATTTCAGCGAAGTTTAACAAGATCTTCTAAAAATAGGCAGATCCACACAGCAAGATCCTTGAAACATAAATTCTGTCAATTCTCCAGACAATCTTCACTCCTAAGAATACAGAGACTTTTTTTAAATATCTATATATTATTACAATTATTCGTGAAACTTTCATTCATTATTATAGCTAACTATATATACCTTTTCAAAGAAAATCTTTATCACATATTTTAGTCAGCCAAGTTTACAACAACGATCAGTCCAGACTTTTATGCATTTTTCCAGTTATTAAAACCGTACACGAGACTTCCGTTACTGTTCCAGGGATATATCTCTTCGTCACTGCTAGAATTGCTGTTATCAGTGTTGTGATCATTGACTTCAACATCGTCGTCTCCGTCAAGTAATGGCTTCATTCTCTGTTTGTATCTAGCATATTTGTACCCGTGCATCTCGACATCTCGCATGTCCAATGAGCATGCTTCATTTTCGTCGTCACCATTGTTTTCGTACTCGTCATCGCTAGAAAGGTGACAATTTTCCATGTCTTTTATGGCGGCTCTCATATCGTTTTCGTTGACTGATTCGTCATCTGAATAATCAGTATTGGGATAACTATTCTGATAATATGACTCTGCATTCGAATCTTCAGAATCATGTTCGTTTTCATAGCAATCATCGGTGGATTGATCGTATACTATTTCGTGTTCAGTCAATGAGTGTACTGATACACTATCGTCAATGGAATTGCAGTTCTCTGCGTAATATACATCGTACACATAATCGCTGTCCTAAAATAATACATTCATTTACATTCTCTCATAGGTGATATACTTCTAAACACATGAGTGCTTAGAAATATGGTTCATTTCCATTTCTAGTTAGTTTGTATCTTATCATACATCCTTATTCTATAACTACTAATCATGACTATTTTACTTTCAAATTATTTATTATTTTACTGTTATTTATTCCAAATATTTTATCTGCTTAATTAATATAAAGTTATTTTGCTATTTCACACTATATTTGTTATTTCCTTCTATTTTACTGGTTTATATTTGAGAAATTTACTTTTGCTTACTTGCTCATTTACTCCTACTATAATTATATTTTTTTAATTTTGATTTTTCTACTTTTGTTGCAAAATACAAGCAAGAGAAATATTTGTTTACCATGTTTACAAAGAACATGATTTTTACATAAATTGCAATTGCAATTGCTGTTACACTTACCTTTTCTTCTTCCTCTACAGGTGCTGCTATATTATGGTTTACTGTCGGAGAAGCTGAATCCTCTACATCTATAACTGTCATTACTTTATCTTCAAACTCTTTTATATTGGATATATCCAGAGAACGATGGTGGTTGATAACTTTATATCTGTCTTCCGCAGATTTTTCTCTTGTCTGTTTGCGTCTCTGTGCCAAGAAATTTACAGAAGGAGGCTGTTTGAAACTAGCCTTTAACTCTTCTTTATTCAAAGTTTTGGCCAAATGTTGCAAAACATTTTCCTCCTGAAAATGATCAAAATAGTCAATATTGTAACTTACGATGTTTTATATGTTAGTGACATATCAAAATTAATAATTGTAATAATTATCTATTAATTACTAATTACTAAGACACATACTATTAAGAAATATTATTCTATGCCATAGTAATTACAGTCTTCTAAAAGAGACCCAATTAAGTCTTAAATTCTTATAACAGGCAGATACAAGTACAATATTATGCATAAAGTTTAATATTAACGAAATTAGCCTAAAATATGAAAAAAATACACAATTCACGAGCAGAACGAATAGGTTATGTATTTATATGATTTTTTTTACTGCTTTTCAGCTAACTGAATACATGTTTGAAGCAACTCTTATCAATTAAGAAAACGGTAAACATGAACAAATTTATGAAAAAGTAAATAAAAATTTATTAAATATGAATTATTAAATGCTCACTGGGCCTTTGACTGTGCCAGCAAATTTGGCAAGTGTAGGAACGGAATCTGAATAGACGGCTTCGTCATCGCCGTCGTCAGCCAACTTCGAGCGTTTACGAAGGATAAGTGCATCCTGCGGCAGGACGCTGTTTTTTCTCTTTACGCGTAAAACTGTAGCCATTTCTGATGCAAATTATCGAAATTCTAACCACCTTACAACCAGAGAAAAACCTGAGAGCGGCCAATACGCCGTTTTCGGCGACACCGACTTTTCGCACTGGAAAGTCATCTGGACGCCATCTGCACCCATTTTGAGAGGGGAACTACGATGTTACATCTACTTTCAGGTCTCAGCGGTAAAACTTACCTATGGTGGCAGTCCGTGGTACATCCACTTTCAAGCGGTACTTGATAAGCACGATCTCGCACATTGTTATGCATTTGTAACATAAATTAACATAACATAAATTAACATGTTAATATGCGCAAAAAGAATAAGAATTGAGATTGTGTATGATTAATATCATGAAGATTATATAACATTATATGTAATACCAGAGAGGAAGCAGAGAGCGGCCAACACGGCGTTTTCGGCGACACCGATTTTTCGCACTGGGAATGGGCGCTATCTGCATCCATTTTGAGAGGGGAACTACGATGCTACATCCACTTTTAGGTCTCGACGGTAAAACCTGCATCTGGTGGCTGTCCGTGCTACATCCACTTTCAGGCGGTTTATGTCCGTGCTACAATCATAATAGCATACTTGACAAGCACGGTCTCGCGCATTGTTATGCATTTGTAACATGAATTAACATATTAACATGCACAAAAAAAATAAGAATTGAGATTGTATATGATTAATATCATGAAGATTATATACGATTTATATCGATATATAAATATACAATAATAAGATAATATTTTGTGTGTACCCAAAATTATTTTTCCAAAATATTTCAGCGTTACGTTAGTATTTACTTATACTCCGGCAGGCGTTCTTTAGCGCAGTTGTATCCGTATGCATGTGTTGCATTGAAAGTGTGCGTGACGTACGTGTGCATAAACGCACTCACACACACACACACACACACACGTGTCCCACACGCAACAGATAGAATCTCAGTGTATCTGCTTAAACATTTTCAATTGCCGTACGTTTCTATGTAAGAATGTAGTCGGCACACACACACAGAGAACTGCTCCCGTCTATCCGTCTGAAGTCCCGCCCTACGTTCGGCTTGTTTTGACGAGCCAAGCGAAAGAGAAAGAGAGAGAGGGAATGTGTTCTCTCCATCTCGCTTTGATTCGCAACGTTGCCGAGATTGTGCTTCCCGACACACGGCCGAGACTGACGTTTCACTATCGAAGATTAAAGATATCGAAGATTAAAGTTTTCCAACCTTTCTCCGTTGATATCTCCGCTTCTACTGGGAATAGAGAGTCGCCATTTTCGGCAAAATGTAGGGTTTTGAGAGGACTTTAATTTGGTGCCAGAGCCAGGCCTGTATCTCTAACCGTTTAGGAGATGTCGAAGGTTAAAGTTTTCCAGCCTTTCTCCGTCGATATCCAGCCTTCCTCCGTCGATATCACCGCTTCTACTGGGAGTAGAGAGTCGTCCATGTAGTCGAAAATGTAGGGTTTTGAGAGGACTTTAATTTGGTGCCAGAACCAGGCCTGTATCTCTAACCGTTTAGGAGATATCGAAGGTTAAAGTTTTCCAACCTTTCTCCGTCGATATCCAGCCTTCATCCGTCGATATCTCCGCTTCTACTGGGAGTAGAGAGTCGTCCATGTAGTCCAAAATGTAGGGTTTTGAAAGGGCTTTAATTTGGTACCAGTCCGAAGCCTGTATCTCTAACCGTTTAGGAGATATCGAAAGTTAAAGTTTTCCAACCTTTCTCCGTCGATATCCAGCCTTCATCCGTCGATATCTCCGCTTCTATTGGGAGTAGAGGGTCGTCATTGTAGTCCAAAATGTAGGGTTTTGAAAGGGCTTTAATTTGGTACCTGTCCGAAGCCTGTATCTCTAACCGTTTAGGAGATATCGAAGGTTAAAGTTTTCTAACCTTTCTCCGTCGATATCCAGCCTTCATCCGTCGATATCTCCGCTTCTATTGGGAGTAGAGGGTCGTAATTGTAGTCCAAAATGTAGGGTTTTGAAAGGGCTTTAATTTGGTACCTGTCCGAAGCCTGTATCTCTAACCGTTTAGGAGATATCGAAGGTTAAAGTTTTCTAACCTTTCTCCGTCGATATCCAGCCTTCATCCGTCGATATCTCCGCTTCTATTGGGAGTAGAGGGTCGTCATTGTAGTCCAAAATGTAGGGTTTTGAAAGGGCTTTAATTTGGTACCTGTCCGAAGCCTGTATCTCTAACCGTTTAGGAGATATCGAAGGTTAAAGTTTTCTAACCTTTCTCCGTCGATATCCAGCCTTCATCCGTCGATATCTCCGCTTCTATTGGGAGTAGAGGGTCGTCATTGTAGTCCAAAATGTAGGGTTTTGAAAGGGCTTTAATTTGGTACCTGTCCGAAGCCTGTATCTCTAACCGTTTAGGAGATATCGAAGGTTAAAGTTTTCTAACCTTTCTCCGTCGATATCCAGCCTTCATCCGTCGATATCTCCGCTTCAATTGGGAGTAGAGGGTCGTCATTGTAGTCCAAAATGTAGGGTTTTGAAAGGGCTTTAATTTGGTACCTGTCCGAAGCCTGTATCTCTAACCGTTTAGGAGATATCGAAGGTTAAAGTTTTCTAACCTTTCTCCGTCGATATCCAGCCTTCATCCGTCGATATCTCCGCTTCTATTGGGAGTAGAGGGTCGCCATTGTAGTCCAAAATGTAGGGTTTTGAAAGGGCTTTAATTTGGTACCTGTCCGAAGCCTGTATCTCTAACCGTTTAGGAGATATCGAAGGTTAAAGTTTTCTAACCTTTCTCCGTCGATATCCAGCCTTCATTCGTCGATATCTCCGCTTCTATTGGGAGTAGAGGGTCGCCATTGTAGTCCAAAATGTAGGGTTTTGAAAGGGCTTTAATTTGGTACCTGTCCGAAGCCTGTATCTCTAACCGTTTAGGAGATATCGAAGGTTAAAGTTTTCTAACCTTTCTCCGTCGATATCCAGCCTTCATCCGTCGATATCTCCGCTTCTATTGGGAGTAGAGGGTCGTCATTGTAGTCCAAAATGTAGGGTTTTGAAAGGGCTTTAATTTGGTACCTGTCCGAAGCCTGTATCTCTAACCGTTTAGGAGATATCGAAGGTTAAAGTTTTCTAACCTTTCTCCGTCGATATCCAGCCTTCATCCGTCGATATCTCCGCTTCTATTGGGAGTAGAGGGTCGTCATTGTAGTCCAAAATGTAGGGTTTTGAAAGGGCTTTAATTTGGTACCTGTCCGAAGCCTGTATCTCTAACCGTTTAGGAGATATCGAAGGTTAAAGTTTTCTAACCTTTCTCCGTCGATATCCAGCCTTCATCCGTCGATATCTCCGCTTCTATTGGGAGTAGAGGGTCGCCATTGTAGTCCAAAATGTAGGGTTTTGAAAGGGCTTTAATTTGGTACCTGTCCGAAGCCTGTATCTCTAACCGTTTAGGAGATATCGAAGGTTAAAGTTTTCTAACCTTTCTCCGTCGATATCCAGCCTTCATCCGTCGATATCTCCGCTTCTATTGGGAGTAGAGGGTCGTCATTGTAGTCCAAAATGTAGGGTTTTGAAAGGGCTTTAATTTGGTACCTGTCCGAAGCCTGTATCTCTAACCGTTTAGGAGATATCGAAGGTTAAAGTTTTCTAACCTTTCTCCGTCGATATCCAGCCTTCATCCGTCGATATCTCCGCTTCTATTGGGAGTAGAGGGTCGCCATTATAGTCCAAAATGTAGGGTTTTGAAAGGGCTTTAATTTGGTACCTGTCCGAAGCCTGTATCTCTAACCGTTTAGGAGATATCGAAGGTTAAAGTTTTCTAACCTTTCTCCGTCGATATCCAGCCTTCATTCGTCGATATCTCCGCTTCTATTGGGAGTAGAGGGTCGCCATTGTAGTCCAAAATGTAGGGTTTTGAAAGGGCTTTAATTTGGTACCTGTCCGAAGCCTGTATCTCTAACCGTTTAGGAGATATCGAAGGTTAAAGTTTTCTAACCTTTCTCCGTCGATATCCAGCCTTCATTCGTCGATATCTCCGCTTCTATTGGGAGTAGAGGGTCGCCATTGTAGTCCAAAATGTAGGGTTTTGAAAGGGCTTTAATTTGGTACCTGTCCGAAGCCTGTATCTCTAACCGTTTAGGAGATATCGAAGGTTAAAGTTTTCAACCTTTCTCCGTCGATATCCAGCCTTCATCCGTCGATATCTCCGCTTCTATTGGGAGTAGAGGGTCGTCATGTAGTCCAAAATGTAGGGTTTTGAAAGGGCTTTAATTTGGTACCTGTCCGAAGCCTGTATCTCTAACCGTTTAGGAGATATCGAAGGTTAAAGTTTTCTAACCTTTCTCCGTCGATATCCAGCCTTCATCCGTCGATATCTCCGCTTCTATTGGGAGTAGAGGGTCGTCATTGTAGTCCAAAATGTAGGGTTTTGAAAGGGCTTTAATTTGGTACCTGTCCGAAGCCTGTATCTCTAACCGTTTAGGAGATATCGAAGGTTAAAGTTTTCTAACCTTTCTCCGTCGATATCCAGCCTTCATCCGTCGATATCTCCGCTTCTATTGGGAGTAGAGGGTCGTCATTGTAGTCCAAAATGTAGGGTTTTGAAAGGGCTTTAATTTGGTACCTGTCCGAAGCCTGTATCTCTAACCGTTTAGGAGATATCGAAGGTTAAAGTTTTCTAACCTTTCTCCGTCGATATCCAGCCTTCATCCGTCGATATCTCCGCTTCTATTGGGAGTAGAGGGTCGTCATTGTAGTCCAAAATGTAGGGTTTTGAAAGGGCTTTAATTTGGTACCTGTCCGAAGCCTGTATCTCTAACCGTTTAGGAGATATCGAAGGTTAAAGTTTTCTAACCTTTCTCCGTCGATATCCAGCCTTCATCCGTCGATATCTCCGCTTCTATTGGGAGTAGAGGGTCGCCATTGTAGTCCAAAATGTAGGGTTTTGAAAGGGCTTTAATTTGGTACCTGTCCGAAGCCTGTATCTCTAACCGTTTAGGAGATATCGAAGGTTAAAGTTTTCTAACCTTTCTCCGTCGATATCCAGCCTTCATTCGTCGATATCTCCGCTTCTATTGGGAGTAGAGGGTCGTCATTGTAGTCCAAAATGTAGGGTTTTGAAAGGGCTTTAATTTGTACCTG